ATGGTTCACTATAACCTTTTCCTCTACTTAGCGCGGGAAACAGTAGTGGGACCTTTTGTTGTAACATAACTATAATAGACGTATATGTAACATAACTATAATAGATGTATTGTGCACTTTTTTTGTAGATATTGATCCTCTATAAAACTTTAGTACATCACTTTGCTCTACTGTCAATGACTTCCGCAGCAATAGCGATATAATGTTATTTTTTTATATATTTTTCACACCCTGGGTTACGTTCTCAAAGTTTTCATATGGAACCCTTACTGTTTTGAAAATAATCTATAGCCTATGTTCATCAGGAATAACTTAGGATTCTAAACATGAAAGAATTATTCAAATCGGTCCAGTAGTTTCGGAGACTATTAAATACAAACAAACAAACAATCAAATCCTTCCTATTTATAATATTAGTACGACTATAGCTATTAGTAGGATAATTGCGTTATCAGAATGTTTTTCTCGTTAAGGTGCTTGGTGGGTAGTACTTGGAGGCGTCATATAAATTTCATGTTATTTAAAAAAAGCTGTCTTATTCCAATTTCATAGCAAAAAAACATCACTAACTGCGACTGTTTCTGTCTGAGTGCAGTCGTAAATCAAAAACAGTTGGCCAAACTATCTTAAACTCAAGAAAGTTAATTTCGATACACTAGTTTATAATAATTATAATAGCGGAAGCGGATAGCGGATTGGATGTCACTTCAAACTGTTTGATAGTGATCAAGCAATTTCTTTATTCATTTTCTGCTGCAGGCAGATTGATCCAATTGCTTGGTTAAGTCGTCGGAACATGCAATTGAATGTGAAAGTGAAGCTCTTAACCGTAATATGCTTATAATAGGTTGTTGATTTTTATTTTAAAATATTCGGAGTTCTTGTTTGGAAACGTTTCTCTGCGTTCACTTTTTTTTGTCATCCTCATGTCAGCTTAAGCCGTACAACTGATTTAAAATAAATTAAGTATAGAGATTGCTTGAGTCTCGGGAAAGGATATTGTTTATTCCAGAACTCATCCTTTAAGGAGCTTAAAAGGTAAGTGGAAATTTGTATGGGCAATATTTTTTCCTACGCAGCTAAAGTCGCGGACACTCTCTTGTATAAATAACATAAATAATCTTAGTGCCTGAAAAAAAAAGACTAGCGTTCGTTTGCAATACTTACGATTTGCAGAAGACTAATGTAAAATAACTCTTCCTTTTGGTACTATTGTGTTTCTATAGGTAAATACATATCCATTGCGAATTGGCGTTTGGCTGTAAATCTGGGAATATCTGGAGTGGCACACCTTTATGCCGCATCTTTACAACTTTTGAATTCTGACCCGCCATCTATGATAAATAAAAACGAGCGAGCCTTACAGTAGTTGCGTATGATGTGTAACATTTAAAACCTCACCTTCTATTAGTAAAAAAGAAATAAAACCTACTACAAAAGGAATAAGCCATTTGCACGTTATGTTCTAAAATCAAATCAAATAGCGCGCGCTTTCGCGACTTCCTGTTACATACTTCCGTCCCATTTCACGAAATCACATAAAAAAAATATCATCTGTTTAATAAATATAAATAAATATATGTAAGAGTGAATATAATGTGCATTGCAACATAGTTTACAGCTAACCGGAAACAATGGTGTTACGAACCATAGAGTGATGATCTCCCACTCCCACGCAGTAAATAACGGTACCAACAAACCAACCAGATTGTTCCCGAGCAAGCGCTTTAAACAAGAATGGCTTTTTGTTTAATGGTAAAGTTTTAATTATCACGCTACTAAACAACCAACAATATACTTAAAAGATAGAGTAAGGATAAATTTTAAATATTAATAAGAAACTATCATGAAATACAAATTTCAAAAACCTAATCAGTGGGTATAACAAGCCACTCAAATGCAATTCTGACTGCTACAATAAAGGCTTCTTTCTTATTACGGTAAAAAAATTAAAACATTTGAAATACCTTCTCTAATAAGAAAGGATAAAATTAGACGAGAATTGTAACTAAGCGTTTAGTATTAGGAGAGGAGAAAAATTATGTATGGACCCTTAATTTTTACTTTATTTTAATTTTTGATACGTACAGAAATACACATGCATGCAAAGACATTTTGCAGGTGTAGATGCAAGTACCCATTGTCTAATTATCTGCATTTATCCAAAATCCCTAGGATTTTTCCTATGACATAGGTATTATATATTAACACAAAACAGTGCATCATTTTAGTAAGATGTACTCGTATTGCACAAAAAAAATAAGTAGGTAGGATAGGTAAGGGTCAGCTATACCAAAAAATAATAAGTTTTTTATTATATTTGCCAATTCAACATCTTGGTAGGATTGTTTGGTAATGGTGTATTTTTAAAGGAAGCCTAGGGATAGTTGGCTTTTATTCCCTTTGTAAATTTGATTTAAGTACCTACTTACTGAAAAATTTCCAGTAAGTAACTGGAAATTTTCCATCGAGCTTTACTGTAATCGTAGTAGGTATTCTTGTTTACTTAGAAGCAATAAGAAAAGAAATACTCCAAGATCTCCAAGAGATTTGAGGTAAACAAACACACGAGTGTCTCTAAAAATTTCCAATGTATTTTAGCAAGAACCGCATAGACATGAGTGCAGTAAAAATCAATGTTATTCTGTTAGGCCGACCTACAGAATACTTTATTATTATAGCTTCCTGATTTGTTTTTTGTTAATATTTGTAGCGCAAGAAAAAGCCTGTTGGTCTTGAAAAAAATATGTCTAATCTACTAAAAGAAAGTTAAACATAAACAAAATGGTGTTGTTCGTAAGTTGTACTAAAAATTAGAGAGTTCGTGTAATTTTTTTCATCTTCTAAAGTTGAGAAAAATTCATACAAATTTGTCTTTACAGCCGAAAAAAAAAATACATTTGTAAGAGATTTTTTGACGATTTTGAAGAGTTAATATTCTATGAGCCAGTTAAAATTATAAAAGCTTGTACTTTGGTTTCGTTTCTTAAATTTTCTTTATTTCAAGGACCGGTTCAACATAATTTTATTCTTTAAGCCACACTGGTTTCGGATGGGCTTGATGAAATTAGTTTCAACTTAATATTTTTTTGTATATTGTTGAGCTATATGAAGCTCGATTATTACAAAGAAACTTACTTGGGCAACTATGCCCGTTTGCACCAACCTACACTTAGACGACTCATATGATAATAGAGATGCCTAAGCTTAAGCAATACCTGAAGTAAATTTTGGTTTACACAAGCATCAAAGTCGTGATGCTCTTAGCTTAGAATTAGAATACCCAATAAGAAAACGAACTTGCTGTGTCTAGCAAGTTCAGCAGTAAATGTTTTATTTTTGTTAAAATACGAAAAACTCAGTAGATTATACAATATCTTATATTAGACAATATCTATATTTGAGAAATTATTTAAGACGGTCCTAAAGTTACGCGCTCCATAATTTTGGAAATCGTCAGTCTTTTGAATACTAATACTACTGGCTACTACCATCAGTAGCTCCTTTTCAAAAGACTAAATACACAAAATCCCTGCGTGGGTTTAAAGGATCGTTTTAAAGTTTCATCTGAATTTGACACTAGGAGTTACTCTAATATTTAAGAATGATTTTAAAGAACTCTTTAAGTTTGGTCAAACAGTTAATTGTGTTTTACAAAATATAAGGTGATTCGGTTATGTAAAGAGTGGGTAAGGCGTACTTGCGTCGACGTTGCCCGAAGATTTTGGCTCTGTTTTCTGACCGGTATTGACGTCACGGGAATAGAAGGGCTATTCGCGTATACATCGAGCTATTAATAAGATCCAATTTTAACGTTCGGCTTTCATAGGTAACTAAACTACTTAACCCAGTTATGAAAATGGGAACGCTATTTCAGAATTTAGGCACATTGTAAAACTAGACAAGGATAGCATAACAAAACGAGATCTTTTTTCCGATATTACTCAATGTTTTTACTTAAAATAAAATAAAACTAATCTTTATCGATAAAGAATCGATTAAGCAATGCTTAACGTTAATATGTACTGACAACCCTGTAATTGAGATCTGTATAGTTATCCCAAAAGTAGAAAATTTCTTCAACTGACTGAGAACTTTGTTTTGCATATTTGAGTTTTTTTTAAAGTATGTTGCTTGATGTTTATCTGCTTGTACAACTAAAAATCTATTACAATCAGTGATACTCTACTTAAGTGCTATCAATTGAAACATTTATGATCACCATCAGATGATTACGCCCGCCGCTCATTGAAACATTTTATATTCATTGTAATGACGTACTGTTATATTCAACCAACTCGATTATTGTAAATAAAAACAAGAAGATGTTATACACACGCGAGAAATGCAAGTCAACGATTTGTAATTAAAACATTCGGACGGACTGAAGACAGGAAATAATGATGTGATTAAGTATATAAACTCCGTGTAAAATACCGGTTCGAATAGCTCTTTTTGATGTAAAGGTGAAATATTATTATCAGATACAAAGCTGATTAGATAGTAGTTTTAACGGTGTTTGGATATTTTTTTTTGTGTTTGGTAAGTTTAACATTTCAAAATTTATCTGAGCTGTAGTTATTAAATTGTTGAACTGTCAAAGATAACTGAAATATTTGAACGCTATTCCTATTCGTATTAGAGTTTTTTGTTTAAATGAACTTATGATAAATCAAATTTGGTATTCGGATGTGTACTTATGTCACTAAATTTTAAACGAAAGAAATTTGTTTCAATTCCCATTAATCACTTATTTGCGTTTACTTATTTCGAAAATGCAGTAGCCTTTTCCTAATTGGGTACTTACCGAAGCAATTTGGTATTATAATAAAAAAAAAACAGTTTGGGCTGTTAGAAGCACTCATGAATGTCTAGAAGCTACGCCATATCGTAGGTAAACTCTGGTAAAAACAACTTCCTTGACTTTTTGTGAGCTGAATGCATGAGAAACAGTGCGAGGCGCATTAGGATTGGAAAAGGAACTGAATATAAAGTTGATGGTTCAAGGCAGTAGAAAGGCGACGTGTGTGCTAAGCCGCTAAACCTCAGCTATATGCGGATCTCCCGCCAAAACGTGCTGCTAGCTGGAGTGTTGTGTTCAGTCGTCCAATCAGAGCGGTTCGCGCCCAACGTTCGCTCGTTTTTCATTATCAATCTGCGATAATGTTTCCGAAGCCGTCGGAGTCGAACAATAATAAAATTACTTAAAACAACTATGTATATCGGCAAACCGTTCATAGTATAGCCGACCTTCTCCGTGCACACATTCTGTGTGCAAACAAAAAGCATTCATATTAAATAAATAAAAAGGCAAAAACGTCGGGCCGGTTTTAGTGCCTTTGCCCGTTTCGTGTTCGGTAAAAAGCAGAAAACAAAAACCTCAGTGCAGGCACAGAATAAAAATCTGTTATTTAAAAAAAAATGTGATTCTTTCTGAACTGTTTCAAAAAGTTTTAGTATGTGCGCTTGTGTATATACTTTTTCCTCGTCACATGCGATAGTTGAATGAAAGTGACAGTTGTGTGCTAGAAAAGTGTTTGTTTATTCGTAAACAAAACTGCATCCAGTAAAACGCGAGCTTTGATTCTTCGATAAGCCTCCGAAATAAGAATTAAAAGTAAGTCTTTTTAAGATTTTGTTATTTAATTGTTTCTTTTATTTAATAAGTAAGAAGAAAATACAAATACCGCAGTAATACGTTTCCTTGCAACTGCCAAGGCTGTGTTGATTTTATGCTCTACAATTCCATATTAGGAAAGTAAGACATATTTAACATTCGTAGCTAAAATAAATTGTAGTTGACTGGCTGATTAGGTATTTGACTTTATCTCGATCAGCGTGTTCTTGGCGCTATCAGTTTTTTAAATTATACCATTTAGGTACTTTTTCATATCTAGTGGCTAATTTTTAACGATGGCATTCTTATTTTCAAATACACTTGAAAATAATATATAAACTTAAAAATCTAAAAACCTAAAAATTTTACGCTAAGAATTAAAATGTAATCTAATAAATATCATGTCAATAATTTAGCAAAGTACGTACATATAAAGGAAACTAAATTATGTATAAGTAATGTAAATAATTCAAAAGTTATTCTTTGTCTTTACTCCTCATTGATTTAACTGTAAAACTTTTTACCGTACTTTGCAGTTAAAAAAATCCATGCAGGATGAGTAATGATAAGTTTATTTAATAGTATTATTATTACGATTTTAATAATTTAAAACTGGACGCTAACGCTTTTGTTTCGCATCAGTTTGAACTTAAACTAAAAATGTTTACTTAAATCTATGTACCTACTATGCAGAGTGCATCATATAATATGACGGAAACAGTTACTTATTTATAAAAGAAATCTGTTGTTTAAATTATCTGGCTGATATTTCCCGTCATTGAAACAAAACGGTTATCCGCCTGGGGGTCTGAAATAGCGAGATTGCACGTTGTATATTATTTTGTAGGTATATTGTTGAAGATTAAATAATCTTTCCTTTTTTCGAAACAAAAAATTACAAGACTTTTCAAGCAAAGCAATGTTATGAGATGATAGAGATGTTACAGATAAAATTCGTTTTATTTGACAATTATGTAGGAAAATGAGTAACATGAACACTCAGGTTAAAATTACATTTAAATGATAATATGAAACATATTTTAAATGTTTCCCACACCCTTAATAGTATGAGCACGTATTGATTAATATATATCATATCACGTCTACCTAACTATCAATATATGGAACCGAATGCAAACAAATGCAAACCTCAGAATCACTTATTTTTAAATTATTTGTTACAAACATACTTAGTTGGCAAAATAAGTTCTCTATTTTTTTACAATAAAGCAAAAAAGTTAAAAGTGATATGTTATATTCTTAAGGAAAATTAATTCTAAAGTGTTATTATGTTCTTCAAATTTAAACGATAAATTAAAAAAATCCTGAGCGAGATTGTTTTTTTTAATTTAAATCAAATAATATATTTTATGATTTAGGAAAATAAGAATATATCGTATCTATATTAAAAGTAGAGCGATAATAAAGTTTAAGTACGTGTTTTTTGTAAATAAACTAGGTAGAGTTAAAACAGCGTATAGTGTTGGTTTGTTATGGGTATTTTAACAGTAACATTAATTACTTCGTAACTACTAGAAAGTTGGACAAGCAATTTTTCTTCACATTAACTATGGGTATACAGTTTTGTGTTTACACTTGTTTACTGACGACGACTTAGGTACTTCTAACTTATCAAAGACAAATGTTTACCTATTTTTCTTAGAAGGACAAATAAATAAAATCAGCTTACATTTATTAAAATTACAGTAAATTATTGACATCAAGTTAAATAATTGACATACGTTATAAAGTTTACATAGCTGACGAGAAAACAAACAAATTGTTGTTTTCATTTTCAATGTAAATATTAATTGAGGAGCTGGCGAGCAAAACGGTATAATTACGCATCTGGTCAAACTACTTTTTATTACAGTCCGGAGGTTTTGGGCCTGTTGAATTTGAATCTCAAATAATTTTCAATCAAAACCGCCTAAAAAAGTGTCCAAATAACTAAATTTATAAATTAAAAACCAAGCCAAAAGCTCACTGGAGGCTCACTCCTTCAGTTTTATACAGCTCCTGTAAAATTATTTTTATGTAATTATACCGTTTTGTTCACCAGCTTCTCAATTGATACCCAACGATACGCATAATTAGGCCTAGAAAATTGACAATCAGAAAAGAAACAATGTTTGCATTAAGATCGTGATGAGATGCTAATCTTCTCTTTTCAGCTGACTTAATTTCGGTTAAGTGCGATTCGGCTCGCTCGGGAAAGGTTTCTACAATTGTACAAGATTTAGAACAAAGTTAGGTGTTTTTATAATTTGTCATTATACCTAAGGTACTTGCACCCAAGACGGCTCAGTTCCTAGGATGACCCAATTTATACTTTTATAATTTTTATTTTAAGCATTTAACTGCTCGGTGTTTTAATTTAAAGAAAATATTACTAGAAAAGAATAAAAAATATTATAACTATAATTGCTATTTCTTCTTGCAAATGTTTAACACTTGTACAGGTATTCATTTAACGTTATGGGTTACCTACAATGCGAAGAGATGGCGCTGCTTTGCAGCTTAAGAAAGGCTAGAAAGAATTCGACCGGCCATCAGGGCCGCTGTAGCATAAAGGTCAGTGCATTCGCTCGGAGAGGGAAGGAATCCCGTCTGCTGCCTGGTCCGTGTGGAATTTTTTCTAGTAATATTTTCTCTAGATTTTATACTTTTATTAGTTTGAATGACTTGCGGCCCCATGTTCGAAAAGTTTAAAAAAAACTGAAAGTTCATATCAAAGGAAGGGAGCCGCCTTCATTGCAGCGGTAGCCAGTTTATCAGTGACGTTGCAAGTGATTTGCGATTTGTATCTTCATGTTCACCATATTTTAGTAGTTCTTCAAAAAACAATTTGTATATTTGTGCTCTCCTGAGAAGCTTAGCTTTATTAGAAATATTATTAATATTCAATTAAAAGAAGTATTTAGTTCTTATTATGGCGTAAAGTCCCTATAAAGGCCCACCATAAGGGTTTCCAAGGCAGCTCGGGTCTTATAGAACTAAAGAATATCCTATGATATTCTTTAGTTCTATAAGACCCGAGCTACCTACTATTTTCTTCAGTTCTAGTAGAAAGTAGAACTTATGTTTAGGTACAAACATGCCTACTTTCTTCTTTGATGCCTATTCCATAAATATGCTAATAATAAAGTATTTTTTTATGATTTCATATTAATTGTAAAAAGAAGGATTAAAATATATTGCTCCAAAGGAATCAACTGAATAATCTGAATCTCAAGATTTGCCCAGATGATACTCGCTATCAGACAGATGGACGAATGAACAGCGGAGGTTTCTAATGGGGCTTTGGGCTCGGAACCCCCAAAAAAATACACTATTAGTGCATAGATTCATTTAAACGTATGAAAACTAGTAACTTCTTGTAACGGGATTATAAAGACGTTGAACTCTGTAGTGGGAAGTGATTATGGTTTGCAATTGCAGCGAGGTACGTAGGTAGAGTCTTCTTATCTAGTGAATGGGGGGTTAGTAAGATATTTGTCATTATTTCTTTGTATTAAACGTTAATTCCTAAATAGAGTGTTCCATTAAGTATTAATATAGAATATCATTGGTCAACCGTTTCAAGCATAGTAGCAGCGGTAAACCAATTAAAATTTGGAAGAGAACTATCTTTCGAGGGATACATAGTGCTTTATACACAGTCAGGTCATAAGTATTGTCATACAGTAAAAACTTTTCTTTTAGAATGTTGGCCACAAAAAAGTTTATTGAATTCGAATTTCGAATTATTCTTTTATACTTTTTATAATTTTACTCATTTTTAAATATGGAGTGGACGCTTAAAGAAGACCGTGTTGCAGTTATTGCGTTGCATCGTTGCGGTTATGCGCCAATTCAATTTTTTGACATACTGAAAAATTTGAATATAACCAAAAGATTCGTTTGTCGTACCATCAAACGATACAAAGTCAATACCAAGTCAAGTAGTCAAGAAGTGGTCGCCCTCGGTCTGTTACGACTCCAGCAGTGATAAAAGCTGTGAAGGCGCGAATTCAAAGAAATCCCAAACGTAAGCAGAAACTGTTGGCCCTTTAGGTGCGGTTAAACAGAACCACGGTGAAAAGGGTGTTAAATGAAGACTTAGGGCTTCGGGTATATCAAAGAAAAACAGGACATCGTTTGAATGCTCGTCTAATGGACCTGAGACTGAAGAGATGCCGCGCTTTGTTGAAGCGGTACGCGGGAAAAAAATATCGGGATTTTTCTTTCTAGTAAACTTTTCTTTAAATATCGGGAAATTCTTTTTTTCGGATGAAAAATTTTTACCGTAGAAGAGAGCTACAAAATGATAAGGTGTACGCACACAGTAGTAAAGAAGCGAGCAACCGTATTCCGCGTGTCCAACGAGGTCATTTTCCATCCTCGCTCATGGTATGGTTGGGAGTTTCTTATTGGGGTTTAACAGAGGTACATTTTTGTCAGAAAGGTGTAAAAACTAATGCAGTTGTGTATCAAAATACAGTTCTGATGAACCTTGTGGAACCTGTTTCTCATACCATGTTCAATAACAGGCACTGGGTATTCCAACAAGATTCGGCCGGCCATGCCAGCTCATAGAGCAAAGAGCACGCAAGACTGGCTGGCGGGGCGTGAAATCGACTTCATCCGTCACGAAGACTGACCCTCCTCCAGTCCAGATTTGAGTCCGTTAGATTTCAAGATATGGCAACACTTGGAGGAAAAGGCGTGCTCAAAGCCTCATCCCAATTTGGAGTCACGTCAAGTCAAGACATCCTTGATTAAGGCAGCCGCCGATATTGACATGGACCTCGTTCGTGCTGCGATAGACGACTGGCTGCGCAGATTGAAGGCCTGCATTCAAAATCACGGAGGTCATTTTGAATAAACTTTATTGTCATAAGAATCTATGTTTTGTTAAGTTCATTGTGGTATATATTTATATACATTTGTTTACATAATGAATAAACATGTTTCAATTATTTTATATTAAACATGTGACAGAATTTATGACCTGACTA